TCTCTGTCAGATAAATAAATAAAAATCTTAAAAAAAAAAAAAAAAGAATGGATTCAAGGAATCATGGTGAAAAGTCTGGGCATGTTATTTCAGTTAACTGATATATATTTTGGTAATAAAATAAGATGACTCAGAAAACAACTGTAAGATATGTCTTTGAAAAACTGACTCTAGAAGTTTGGTGAATAGACAATTACGGGTACTTCAGTTGAATATTTGAACTTCGAAAGCTACTGGTGACTGCTTACATTGTTTTAAAATCAATGATCTCAGTGTCATACAGTCTTACAGCTTTCATGGACTTTGTGTTCGTCTGTCTTTTCACATCGGGCTGTCACAGGAGCAGGGTCCCAGTGACCTCCTGAGTGAATGAACTGCAGTGATTGGATGCCTCCAAGTAGTTAAGATATGGAAAGAGAGGAAACATTGCTCCTCAGCAAGAAGAATAAGAAGACAGTGAGAAGACTGATCTTACATTCCCTTTTTAGGAAAAAAAAAAAAAAGTGGGGGATGCAGTTTTGAATATAATCAAATGGAATGGTGGTGAGATATTTTGACAATCTACTGAGTAGTTCAAAATAAGAGTGTGACTTCAGAAATGTGTATACTATTGCCTAGGACACCAGAATTAAGACATCACTCTCTGAATACAATTTTATTTGATGAAGAAATAAACAGTTCCCTATGTATCTTTCAGGTTTTATTTTATTTTATTTCCAAAGTAGAGCATGAATCCTTCTCAATCTTGAAATTGAATGTTTAAAATTTAATATACGTAACAGGATTCTCAACTCTCTAAGTTTTTAAAAATTCCACTTGTGTTCATTTTTAAAGGGACTTTCAAAATTGTCACTATTATGCTATCTATTAATGTTGTTTTAACATCTTTCAGAAATAATTGGCAATAAGACCTCTGTAGCCATGGCTAGTTCTGACGTGAAACCAAAATCAATAAGTCGTGCCAAAAAATGGTCAGAAGAGATAGAAAATCTGTACAGATTTCAGCAAGCAGGATATCGGGATGAAATTGAATATAAACAAGTGAAACAAGTTTCTATGGTAAGATGTCTCTACAAACCTGAACTCAAAATATTCAGTGAAAAGTATCAAAATCAAACAAAGAACCAGAGAATAACTAAAAGGAAGCTCTACTCCAATTCCCTTATTTTACTGATGAGGAGACTGAGGCCCAGAGGAGTGGTTTTCAGGTAGACTGGAGGGAGAGGTGGTCCCTCAGCATGGAAAGATTAAGAACTTTCTAGCTTTTATTGAACAACCATGCTCTGCCAGATAAAGCTTTGATGATAACCACAAAAGCAGAGTCTTTTCCCCTTACCCAGGTAATTCTATTGCCAGATATTGTTTATTGTGTAACTATTACTTCTTTCCAGTTTCTTTTTTTTTATCCCGAATTATCAAGGGGTTAGATTCTGTTTATTATGGAGATTATAAGTGACAGAAAACTATTAGAGAGCAACTCCTGACTTTATTTGTGCATTACACTCCCATGCCCAATAATGTGATTGAGATAAAATCAGATTTAAGAGAACACAAAGAACCTCCTTGAAGGGGAAGTCCCACACAGTGAGAGGAGTGTGTGTGTGTGATGTAGGGAAGAACAACCCTATTCACTGTATGACTTGGCATTTTTGAAGAGGTCTTGCATTTCACTTCAGTATAACTAATTGGATATAAACTGTTGGGAAGGAGAAAATTTCCCCTGTTCTTTTGGCTGGTCTAATAATGAAATTGACCCATGACAGATTAACAGGAGAAAAGACAAATTTCATCTAATTTCATATATACAGGGGCCCCAAAGATATAAGACCCAAGAAGTGACCAAAGCAGGCCATTTATATACCTTTTAGACAAAGAAATGATAAATGTATGAAGAACTGACAAGACAAAGTAACTTGGGCTTGAGTACTAATTAGTGGGGGGAAATGAAGCAGAATTTATTTACACAGTCCAGTTGGCTCTGAATTCTCTGTCTGTGGTTATAAGGATGTCTGTCTACCTCCAGGTGCAGGGAGGGTGCCTTTCACATGGGAGAAAGGAGGGTCAGTGTCCTTCATGCAACGGTTTCTCAAGTAATTCTAACTTGAAACCGTCAGTATGCCAAAGTGGCATACTCTGGGGCAGCATGCCCTCAACCCTGTCACTACCATATGCAAATTTCTGTGCCAAGTGCTTTAGGAGATAAAAATATGAGTACCTGACCTCAAGAAATTGATTGGGCCCGTAGGAAGAGAACCATATTTGGAATCTATCCAGGGTCTGCATCCTGGCTCCAATCTCTCTTTTTTTTTTTTAAAGGGATGGGGAGAAGTGACACCCTCCCTTTTTTTTTTTTTTTTTTTTTTTAAGATTTATTTATTTATTTTGAGAGAGAGAGAGGGGGAGGAGAGCGAGCAAGCAGGGAGCGGGACAGAGGGAGAGAGGGAGAGAATCTTTTTTTTTATTAAGATTTTTTATTTTATTTATTTTTTAACAGAGAGAGAGACAGCGAGAGAGGGAACACAAGCAGGGAGCGTGGGAGAGGGAGAAGCAGGCTTCCCGCTGAGCAGGGAGCCCGATGTGGGACTCGATCCCAGGACCCTGGGATCATGACCTGAGCCGAAGGCAGATGCTTAACGACTGAGCCACCCAGGCTGAGCAATCCTGAACAGTGCTCTTAACTTGGCTGAGCTCAACAGTTGAATTGTGATGGCAGTGTCTGCTTTAGAAAATAGTTACAGGAATTAAATGAAATCATGTGTTTGAAGTGCCTGACATTGTAGTGCTTAATGATTTGTTGAGTGAATGAAAGATAAGTGTTTAATCATTGACAGCTTTTATTATTCTTATTATCTTGGAGTAGAAGATTAATAATGACATGAACAGTAAAAACTTATGCAAGTCAAAATATGTGTGCCTTTAAAAAAGATGCAGGAATTTAGAGGAAGACAAAATCGCTTCCTTTGGGGGACAATCCTCCAAAAGGGCTTCATGCCCCCAGAGACATTTGCAGAGGGCCTTGAAGGTTGGCCAGGATGGTAACTGAATGCTTGCCTTGATTGGTATGTCTCTACCAGTGTACAGAGGTGGGGAGGGTTTGAGCAAACTTCTCTTTCCTCGCCTGAAGCATATGTCCTTTTGGGACACATAAACTATTAGAGCTTACTGACCTCACTAGTTGCTCTTAACGACCATACAACTCCACTCTGTTCTACTCAAAGGAGTGAAGCTTTCTTCCATCGACTGGGAGTCCTCAAGTGAAAGGCCAAGAAGAAAAAATTATAAAATACAAGGGATATTTAAAATGACTAAGGGTTGATGAGCACAGAACAAATACAGCTGCTTGGAGGCTCATCCCATATACAGAGGCTATTTCTTCACTGGATGAGATGCTTTTTAGGACCCTAATAAATGAAAGAGAGCCTGCTCCTGGCCCCAAGACGAAGAGAGTTATAATGGTGTCTTGAGAACACCCTCCTTTTTCTGCTGGGGGCAATGGAAGCTATGAAAGGCAAGCTTGACCTAAGTGATAGGAAGCATTGATTTTTTTCCTATACTGTAAATGTCAGAAAGCCTGCCAAGGTTCATCCAATATGCTGCTACCTATTTTCATTAATTCTTAAATAAAGGAGACAACACAAGAAAAAGAAAATGTGCTGTTAGAAAACAAAGGCCATGCATTCCTTTGTATTCATGATGTATTCCTATCCCAGTGGAAAGTTATGATTTATGGATGGTGCATATGAGAAGTGACAAGGTGCCTGAAGAGATGGTGGTGAAGAGCGTTCGATTATCTAGACCATGACACCTGAGTGATCAGGTTTTGACAATGATAGAGTAAATCTTAAAAAATCCAGAAGAAATATACCAAACAACAAGAGAAATGTGTTGACCTGATCATGATCAAGAAAGTAGAACATGAATTTGGAGAGGACGGGGAGAAAAACGTCCAAACTAGGTCAAGCCAAATAATAAAGTAAGCAAACCAATATGACATATGAGAAAGAATAGTGGGGAGAAGGTAAGAAAAGATAGTGGAAGATTAAATTCATGACCTCAAATTTCTATTAAAAATTAGGTTTCAAGGGGCACCTGGCTGGCTCAGTTGGTGGATCATGAGGCTCTTGATCTCAGGGTTATAAGGTCCAGCTCCACACTGGGTGTAGAGATTTTTTAAAAAAATAAAATCTTGGGGCACCTGGGTGGCTCAGTCGTTAAGCGTCTGCCTTTGGCTCAGGTCATGATCCCAGGGTCCTGGGATCGAGCCCCGCATCAGGCTCCTTGTTCAGCAGGGAGCCTGCTTCTCACTCTCCCTCTGCCTGATGCTCCCCCTGCTTGTGCTCTCTCTTCCTCTCAAATAAAAATAAATAAATAAATAAATAAATAAATAAATAAATAAATAAAATAATAAAATAAAATCCTTTAAAAAATTGGTTTTCAAGCTGAACTTGTGATATGGATTTGAGGAATGCATATGCACCTTTAGGTGTCTTGAGTCTAGCTGGTTCCATTTGTCACTGGTGTGACATCAATGCTCAGCAGCCAAGTGCTTTCAGAGTGGGGCCTGAGCCTAATTTCCTCCTCGGGCATTACTTTTAGAAATTAAGAAGTAATAACGTTTGAAATAATTTGTAAACGTTAAGAAAAAGTTTTGAGTGTTTTGAATGTTTCCCCTATCTTGGCCACTGAGTAGAAATTTAAATCTAGAAATTGGGATCTAGAGACAAGCACCAAATTAGCTATTTTGCAGTATAAGGATACAACTTAGGATGTGTTTGAGGTGTATAATACTGTCTTGAGAGCTCAAGTATTTTTAGATTTAATTTTATGCTTCAATTTTTGGATGTGAGATATACTGTTAACTATTTGTTAGTAAATTATTATATAAAAATAAAACCAGCATCATAGTATTTGTATTCTGGTTTCTGATGTGCAGGTAGATCGTTGGCCAGAGACGGGATACGTGAAGAAACTCCAGAGAAGGGACAATACTTTCTATTACTACAACAAACAGAGGGAGTGTGATGACAAGGAAGTCCACAAAGTAAAAATTTATGCTTACTAGCCTTTGTTCTTTGTGTTATTTGTCATTACTTAAGACTTCATTGCTTCATTCTACATCATGTAAATGTCACTTTACAAAATAATTCAAAATGCAGACTTCAGCTGAATGCTATGAAACACAAAAGCCATGAAACCATGAAACCATCCTGTTCTGTTCTAAAATATAATTGCAGAAGCATTAAAGTTGTATCCATCTTGGTCCTGTTCTTCTGATTATTTTAACTGAGGTAGACTAACCATGATGCACAGAAAGAGACAGCCCCATCTGAAACCATTCCAGTGGTGAGGCTAGTTATGTATAGGTTAGTGCTCCATACTCCCTACCCCCACCCCCAGCCTTTACCACTTTCTAGACCACCATTTTGAACTGTCAGATCTGCCTCTTGTGGCCTGAGGGCTTTCTCTTGTCTCTGGAGTCCTTTGCCTCTTGCTGGGTAGATTGGAAATGCCAAGGGCCAGAAGCCCTTGGGAGCAGCCCTCAACCAATAACTGATGGGGAGGAGGTGTTCAAAAGCTCCAGCTGCCTGGTACCTCAGAGGAATCCATCAGAGGTGTGTGCTTTACACTGGCGCCCAGTTTCCCAGCAGAATGAAGCTTCAGTCACCTGCAGCGGTGTCTTGCTGGATCACAGAGTCTATTGGCTGTCTCCCTCCATTGCCACTCCCCCCACTCCCTGCCAGGGGTTCCCTTCATCCTGAATCAGCTCCTTGTATGTGGAGCCTTGTCCCAGGATTGGCTTCTGGGTTCCCAACCTAGACAATTCCTGTTCCAGTCCTGCTTGGAGTCACTGCAGAAACAGCCTGAGTGCTAATGAGCTAGGCAATAATTAACCTGTAAGACATAGGAAGTCCCCAAAATTCATGAGTCTTGAGTGCTTTGAGGTTAAATAGATGAAAGATACCCTTTCTATTTTAACTATGTTTTCACTAGATTTTTTGTCACCATTCGTAAGCCCTGACCTTTAAATAGATTTTTGGATATGGGGATCATAACCATCAATTCATCCAACTTCAGCTCCCGTTTTCCAGAACTATCTGTACCCGTGAAGCTCCATGAGTTTTCCTAAATCAATGTTGTGATTCTTCAGCATTTTTTCTTTTTGAGCAGAAACATCACAGGAAGGATAGATTGGCAAACTTTTTTTATGGCTTTCCCAGCGTTGCTTGAGATCATCTCACCACTTTGAAGCCATTTATCTGTACCCCTCTGCTCATGCTTTTTATCATCCTCTTTCAGATTTGGCAAACCCCTCAGTACTGATCATAAGGGATCTTCTGAATCTGATAATGCTTTTTTTTTTAACCTACTGTGATAGAAGACATCCCCTGACATCGGCATTGCCTCCAAATACACCCTTATCCCTGAAACCTGTGCATATGGTACCTTACACAGCAAAAGACAGTTTGCAGATGTGATTAAGTTAAAGATCTTGAGATGGGAAATTATCCTGGAATATCTGGGTGGGCCCAAAGTATCACTCGGGCCCTTAGGGCAGCAGGCTGGTCAGAGTTAGAGAAAGAGGTGTGACAATGGAAGCAGAGGTCTGAAGGGATGCAAGGAAGGAACCAAAGTCCAATGAATGCAGAAAGCCTCTAGAAGCTGGAAAAAGCCAGAAAATGGCTAGTCTCCAGAAGAAACACAATCTTGCCAACACCTTGGTTTTACCAAATAAGACTTATTTCAGACTTCTGGCCTCCAAAACTATAAGAAAATAAACTAGTATTGTTTTACACCACTCCGTTTGTGGTAATTTTTTACAGCAGCAAGAGGAAACATACCCCTACATAGAACGGATGAAGGAAATACCAATCCATAGCCATGGAGTCTACATGAGCTTCAATCATGGGCTGCCATTTTTGATGAGGGAGCACAGATAATGTTACAGATAATATCCATTCCAAGGAAGTTGGCCAGGGCCTTTTTGCCTGGAACCTTCTCAGTAATTAGCACAAATGGTCTAAATGCCACTTTATCCTCCTGCAGCAAGACCCTCCTAAGATATATGGCCCTTGGGGAAATACAAATCCAAACCTCAATGAGATACCACCTCACACCAGTCAGAACGGCTAAAATTAACAAATCAGGAAATGACAGATGTTGGCGAGGATGCGGAGAGAGGGGAACCCTTCTACGTTGGTGGGAATGCAAGCTGTTGCAGCCACTCTGGCAAACAGTATGGAGGCTTCTCAAAAAAGTTAAAAATAGAGCTACCCTATGACCCAGCAAGTGCACTACTGGGTATTTACCCAAAAGATACAGGAAGTCATTTCTTAAGTGGTTTTCAGAAGACACGAAAGTCAACACGTTCTTAAGTTCAGGGAAGTGGGAACCAAATCTAGCCCTACGTTCTTCTCTCTCAGGAGAGACAGCTTCCCTCATTCCGATACTTATCAAGGCAGGAACACATTGAACTCATTTAGCAATTTCACAGACTATGGATTTTATATTCAGCAGGAATAATGGCTAGAAATCACTGGTTCTCTAATTTTATGGTTCAGGAATTAGGATTTCTGAACATATGTCATCAAGATAATGGGTGATGGAAAAGATCAAATCCTTCTATGATTTAAAATAGGCATCTAAGCATGACTGACCCCTTTCTTTACCATGATTAGTGTGCATATAGTAAGAAAGAGGGGGGCGCCTGGGTGGCTCAGTCAGTGAGCTGTACTTCTTGATTTCGGCTCAGGTCCTGAGATCAAGCCTCGAGTTGGGCTCTGCACTCAGCACAGAGTCTGCCTTAATTTCTCTCTCTCCCTCTCCCTCTGCCCCAAACCCCTTGCTCTCTCTCTCTCAAATAAATAAATATATCTTTTAAAAAAAAAAAGAGGCAGGGAGGGGAAAGAAGAGAAGGAGGAAGAAAAGTGGGAGAGAGAAGGAAAAGGGGAGGGGGAGGGGTAGATAGGAAAGGAGACAGAGACAGAGACCCAGGTATGATGGGACTCTAGGAAAAGCTGCTGGGGATGGGAGTCTGTTGGCTGTTGAGGAAGAACATAATGGCCTCTCCCTCTTAGGTAAGTCCATCAGAGGCAGATAGACAACCTTGGTCATAAGAAGAGTATAGACCTTTTATAACCCAAGGAAGGCTACCACTCCCAATAATCTTTAGCATGTAAAACTACTAGTTTTAGAGAAAGAGGTAGAGAAATGTCTATAGGATCCAAGGACCCTCCCAGGAGGAAAGAGAAGACTCCATCCTTTTTGAAGTTCAACATTGTTAGAACTTCTCTGATGGGCAAGAAAGGACACCAAGAAACCTCAAAAGGAAATACAGTGATGAGGGAAGGGAGAGTCTGTACTGGAGTCTACTGGTGGTGAAGCAAGATGAGCCATGGTGGAGTGTGCGGGGGCAGGAGGGAGCCTGTGGCCCTGCCATCTTGGTCCTGCAGGTGTGCTCCATGAGGGACTAATGAGTTACCATCTTGGGAGCCCATGCTGGGCACCATTAAGGTCTTTTCTAAAATCATAGGGTGTCTCAGATTGTAGAGTCAGTTTTCCAAAGTGAAGCACTGAGAGTTGAAAAGCTGGGGTCATTCATTGAACTTCTAGAAGTAGGAGTCAAGTGGGAGCTGGGAGAGAATGCAGTGGGGGAGGGCCCTTCCAGGAATGTGGAGAAGCAAAACCAGAAAAGGAAGCTACAGACCAGAGAGGGGATGGCCTGTTGGAGCAGTGACGGTCCAAGTCCTGGGAAGGGTGCAAACACCACTGCCTTCTGTGTCCCAGTTCTTCTTCCCAGTCAAAAGCATCTCGTACTTTCTTTTTGCCATACTGCATGGGGACCCTACGAGAAGGTACGGAGTAGAACTGACCCCATGGTGGGGAAAGGGGAGAAAGGCACAGAGCATACCATTTTCCAACGCGGAAAGTCAAAAAATCAAAGTTAGTATTGGAACTAAAACAAGCCTCAGAGGACCGGTGGCCCAACAGTTGAGGAAATCCAGGCCCACAGAGGGGTGAGGTATGCCCGAGGCTTCACCGTGGCTGAGATTCTAGGCTTAGCCCAGACCCCTTCTGCATACCACCTGTCTACGTGTAACAAGTCTGCTCAGGAACAAGGGCAGAGGAACCTCTCAAAAGGCCCTGGTCCAGAGACTGATAACTGTACATTCAAGTCATGTTACTGTCCTTCTGTTTACTTATGGCTATAGCTACTTCTTGTCAAATCCCCTAAGAATAATTGAGCGTGAGAGCTATACATTACTAGCTATCAATGGAACAGTTTGGGCAGGGCCTATACATGGCCGAACTGATACCCTGATGACCTCTGAGACAACACACAGCCTGTTTCCTCTGAGGCGTCCACAGGCCAGGGTGTGTCTGAGCAGGGCAAAGGGGTGGTATGGGAAATCCTACATCTTCCTTACTCCTTGGCCCGGATTCTCTGCCTTTGGGGTGCATTCCACTTAGGTGGCCTCATCATTATAAGCACGGTTCTCTGTTCTGTGTGTTTGGCAGCAACTTTGGCCAAGAGCAAGGCTTCTGAGCGCTGTCTTCTGCACCACCAAGGCAATAAGCCAAAGGCCAGAAACACAGCCAGGATGGACCAGCAGAGGTTACGCCCCAGCCCTTGGGCCAGCTGCAGGCCCGCGGGCGCCACGGGCACCTCGAGTGGTGTTAGGGAGATGTCAGGAGAAAGGATGGGATGTGAGAGAATTCTCTGGGAGGGTGGGAAGAGGGGGGGATGGGGTGCAGGTCCTTGGAGCGTTTGCCAATCATCCCAGGCGTCCATAGCATTACCGCTCAACTCTTGTAAAAACTGTCAGCACCTTGATTAAAGAACAGCAGCTCACAGAAAAGCTGGAGTTTACAAAATCTCCCTAGAAAGGTATGTTTGGAGGTGACTTTTGAGACACCCATTCAACGCCCTCCTACCGCACTTAGGTTTGTATTTGGTATCCAGTATTTTGGGGCAGCCCCCCCCAAAAATGTGCCACTTTGGCATGTGGATTATTTTAAGCCAAAGGCACTTGAGACCCTGTGGGCTCACAAGAAACTTCTGCCCCTCCCTTAATCACACAGAAGAGTCTAGACCCAGGGTCTTTCCCAGAATAAGGGTTAGTAACAGAGATAAATTTTATCTGAGTGACCCATCTATAGGGTAGAGCAAACATCTGCTCCTCTTATCACTCTGGGAAGTGCATCCTCCCGTCTGAAGTCCAGACCCCCGCCTCTTTCTCCCTAGTTCAGAATGACACACA